GACCTCAGGACCCATCATCCCCGCCCTCCTTCTGCCTCAAGGGCCCACCAGTCTGTGGGGGAGGGGAGGCTGCCTAAAAACAGAGCCCGGTCTCCTCAACAACCACAACCCCGCGAGGTAGGCCGGGCGGAGGGTTTCCCCCGCATCCCCCCGGGCCTCGCCTGTGGGCGTGCAGGCGGCGCAGCGGGTCGGTGCGGTGGCAGGACGAGAGGTGGCAGCCGAAGTCGCTGACGTCCAGGCAGGCCGGGCCTTCGTCGCCCAGCCGAGGCGGGTGGCGCAGCGGCGGCGGCGGCGGCAGCTGCAGCGGCGAGAGGACGGCGCCGGGCTCGTCGGGCGCCAGGAACTTCTGCGGCTCCTCGCCGGCCATGCCGCCAAAGGGGGTGGGGGGGGTGGGAAAGGCCGGGCCTACGCCGCTCCTACTCCTCCTCCTCAGCCGGCCGCCATGAGGCGAAGTCCCGCCGCCGCCGCGCCGGACGACGGAAAAAAAAAGAAAGAAAGAAAAAGAAAAAAACAAAATCGCCTCAGGCTCCAGCGCAGGCCGGCTGCCGGAAGTGGCTTTCGCGAACTTCCGCTGGGTTGGTGGGGTGGGGGGGGCGAGGGAGAGCGCGCTCGCGCAAGGAGGGCGATCTCATTCCGCTCTGCAGCGCCCCCTGCGTTGGAGGGTGGGAATGCGCCCTGGGAGCCAGAAGGAAGGAGGGGATTGGAGGAGGTTTCTTTGTATGACTCGCCAAGACTGATATGTAAGAATAAGAGCAAACAACCCCCCCCACTCGCCTTTGGTACTGGTGGCGTTACCTAGTTGGGTCGTGAAAGGTCTGAGAGGAAACAAGCAGGCTCAGAAAGCATCAAGGGCTGTCCGTCCATCTGTCCGTCCATCTGGGACAGACGGACGGATGGACAGACAGACGGATAGATGGACAGACAGACGGACGGCTGGACGGACGGACAGACACGCACGGACAGACAGACGGATGGACGGACAGACAGATGGACGGACAGGCGGACAGGCCCCACAGTCCTCCTCATCCTCATCCTCCTCATCTTTTATCCATCCGTCTGTCTGTCCATCCATCCATTTATCTATCTACACCGGGGGTCTCCAACTTTGGCAACTTTAAGATTTGTGGACTTCGACTGCCAGAATTCCTCCGCCAGTCATGTTAGCTCAGGAATTCTGGGATTTGAAGTTCACAAGTCTTAAAACTTGCCAAGTTTGAAGACCCTCGATCTATACTAATGTTTCTCAACTTTTCATCCATCTATTCATCCATCCATCCATTTCTCTATTTGGATTAGTGTTTCTCAACTATTCACCCATCCATCCATCCATCTATCTATCCATCCATCCATTTCTCTGTCTACACCAGCATTTTTCAACTATCCATATCCATCCATCTATCCCATTTATTTATCTAAATCAGTGTCTCTCATCCATCCATCCACTTGCACTAGTGTTTCTGGCTGGGCTAGAAGGCAGTGGGGCTTTGCTCTCTGTTTATATACAAGCCCCTTCTAGCACTGATGATGTTACCTAGTTGGGTCATGAAACATCTGCAAGAAACCACCAAGCCCAGAGAGCACCTACAGTTCTTCTCCTATTCCCTTTTTCCTTCTCCTTCTCTTCCACTCTGCAAACTGTACTCCCTTTCTAGCACTGAAGATGTTACATAGTTGGGTCATGAGACATCTGCAAGAAAACATTCAAACTCAGAGAGTATCCAGGACCCCATAGTTGAGCCCAGAGCTACAAATATTATCTTATATCGGTTCTACTGTCCAGCTTGGTTGCAATTTGGGCCCAGACAAGCATTAACCAACTCTAGCTTTGTTTACCTTTCCAGCCCAGGCAAGATCAGCCAAGTACTGCCATCAGTTGATAAAGTCAATGAAGATGAGCCCCAGGTTCAAATTCTGACCCTTTCTTGAAGATATCCAAATGAACAAGGGGTAATGGCTAACTCTTATGTCCCTCAACTTCAGTGGCTTGAGGATATCTGGACTTCAACTCCCAGAATTCCCCAACCAAGATAGACCTCCGGGAGCTGATGTCTATAGTTCTTCAAGCTGCCAAGGCTGAGAAACATTGGAGTAACTTATCCAGTCTAATGTGCAACTTGATCAGTGTTAATCTGATTAATTAATTTATTAGTGCTCTACTAATCTCACAAGCTGGATTTGGGCCATGTCCCAACTAAGCCTTGCTTAGTTCAGCACATTATGCAGGGATAGCCTCTATCTCAAGGTAAGGAAAGATGTGGAAGATAATTCCAATGACCCTATCTTCTTGGAAAAAAATAAATGGAAATCTGGAAATAAAAAGGTTACGAGGATTTTGAAGTGATGTTCAAAGCATTGCTTTGCAGAGGAGAAAAAAAACTCAAGAGACAAACCAAGGAACAGTTTTCAAAAGGACCCTTTCTAATAAAAAATATCTACAATCAAACCGTATTATACGTAAATTCATTCTTAAAAGATATCCATCGTTTTCACACGAACATGAAGAAGAGTGTTGCAAGTGATACCATGGATATGATAAAAAATTAAATGACCCAAATAAAGAAGGGAGAAGTGACTTTTTACAAAAAATAAAAATAAAGCGGTATTTTCTGATATAAAATACTTCCCTTTGCAATAAAGGACATGTGATCACTGTAAAGAGAACCCATCAGGCTGGCTTGGAGGACGCAAAAGCAGCCAGGAAAAAGGCTACCACACCTCTGGAAATGAAACTTACAAATCCAGAGGTGGAGAACTACAACTCCCAGCAGCCTCTCGGTCACATCCGACCAATCGCCAAGCGAGCCTCCGGCCAAAAAATAAAATAAAAAAATATGCGTCGGGCAGTTACGCCTTTCTGTCGCTAGGGCGCGCCCGCGAGGAATGGAACGTTCCCCGGGAATGGGGAGAGGTCACGTGGGCGATCCGGCAGGGTTTGCTTTTGCTTGCTTTTTGCAAAAGCAGCGCTTTTTTTGCAGAAACTCGGCGCCTGCCTCGCCTTCCTTCTTTCTTTCTTTCTTTCTTTCTTTTTTTTTTGGCGGGGCGAAGGAGCTGCCATGACGGCGGCCGGGAAGGGGGTGTCTCCCCCTTACCTGCCCCCGGGACTAGCCGGCGAAAGCAGCCTGAACAGGGCCAGTTTTTGGGGGCCTCGCATACCCCCCCAGGTAGAAGCCATGGCGAAGATCCTACAAGAGCTAGAAAAGGAGATTTTCCGGAAACTCCTCAAAGGTAAATAAAAAACAAAAAACCCTCTTACAGGGCGAGCTCCTAAAAACGCGGGGGAAGGAAAAATAATTGCCTTTTTATTATTTTCAGCGTTTCTGCAATTTTGGGAGAACGTTATCTATTTTATTTTATTTGTTTGTTTCTCAAACATGTACAAGATAACAAGTGTAAGTATGAACATAAGAACAAATAAGTGAGGACAGTAAGACCGGGACGGTAGGCTTTATGTTTCTGGAGATTTTGTGATGGTGAGTGAGTGGTATTTCGCTTTTATATATATAAAGAAGTAAGAAGATAACAGGGAAGGGACTTTAGAGGTCTTCTAGTCCAACCCCATGATGTGAAGGGCAGGAAACCCTTGAAAGCACCAAAACACAAACAAAACATTAACTCTTTTTTTTGCCTTAGAACAATTGAGAGAATGTCAAAGCAAATTTTTTATCTTCTTCTCTGGAAATAAAATAATTTGTTTCTCAACAGCATCTCGCTTCACTTAAAGAGGCAACTTTTTTTTTCTCCTTCATTCAAAATATTTTTGTGTTCCCGGAGGTTTGCTTAGGTTGCCGGGCCTTGAACTTTGTGTTATAAGTAATCAGAAACAAAACGGGGATGTGACAGAGAAATTTGCAACAAACTAAAATGTTTGGCAGACCAGCAGTCTTTTTATCCGCCCTTGAAAAGATAGCAACGGAGAAGTGAAATTCTTTGGAAAGGGGATCTTGGGCCTAGAGAAAGACCTTGGTGGAAGAATTTAATTCATAATTAGCCAATATGAGATCGACATCTCCCTGGATATGTAAGATCCAACCACTGAATTTAGCTTTCCCAGCATTGCTCATCCCCCTAAAACTTTTTCTGGAAATCAATCAATAAGCATTGATTAAAAACCATGGTACCGTCGTGCAAATAATGCAAAATATTTGGGTCAGTTGTTTGATGCTAGCATGATACACAGGCATAAAAGAGGTATGTAACCCAGGCCTCGAGAGTCCATTTCGAAATCTGAGAAAGGCACTTCAAGAAATCTACCCTCGTTGCTAGCAAATACAGGTAGTTCTCAACTTACAACTGTCCCATATAACGTCCGTTCGAAGTTGCCAACGGCACTGAAAAAAAAGGACAGGTCCCCGTTTTTCACACGATGGTGGCAGCATTCCCCATGGCCATGGGATCAAAATTCGGACTCTGGGCAACCGATTCATATTTACGACGGGGGGGGCCTGTCATAAATCTGAATCGGAAGCCCCTTTTGTGACCTTCTCACAGGGAATTTAGGGCATCTGGCAGACAGTCTTGTCAAGAAAGTGGGGGGTTTTTTTTGCAAATGCTCCTGTGGATTTTTGGAGAATGGAAACAGTCTGAAAATAAGAATTTTTTTTTTTCTGGCTGATGCTTGGAGGTGGGGGGTGGATGTCAGACGCGTCTTTAAACTTTTGTGCCTTTTGAGTATTTACGACTATGGAGGCATCATGGGGTCCGTGATGCTATTTCGGGCTCAGCCTTATGGGAATTGGGAGTCTTTATTCGTTGTCTTGGGTTTCCACAGCCACCGTCGGCGCCTTGGAAGGAAAGGAGTGCCAAGCCTTGGTAAAGACGGTCGCCGAGAGTGCCCATCTGTCGGAGGAGCAGTTGGCCATCCTCCTGGCTGGCATGTACAGCCTCCTCCGCGAAGCTTTGCGGCTCCCTCTGTCTTCTCTCAAGCAAGAAGTGAGTGTTCCTCTTTCAATTTGGATGCAAAAGAGGAGAATGGGGACAGGGAGGTGCCCATCGGTTTTCTAGTGCCTTATTTGGTGAAATACCAAGGAAATTCTGACGGCGAATTAGCTCTGATGATGTTCCCTCGTTTGGTGATGAAGCGTCTGCAAGAAAACAGCCAAACTCAAAGGGCACCAGGGATCCACAGCTCTCCTCCTCCTTGTCCTCCTCCTCCTCCTCTTCCTCCTCCTCCTCCTCTCCCATCCCTTCTAGCACTGATGATGTTCCCTTGATTGGTGATGAAACGTTTGCAAGAAAATTGGTTATTTGGTTGGTTATAAAATTGGTTATAAACTCAGAGCACTAGGGATCCACAGCTCTCCTCCTCCTCTTCTCTTCTTCTCCTCCTCCTTCTCCTCTTCCTCTTTCTCTTCTCCCCCTACTCTTCTCTTCCTCCTCCTCCTTCTCCTCTACCTCTCTCATCCTTTCTAGTACTAATGATGTTGCCTTGTTTGGTGATGAAAGGTCTGCAAGAAAACAGCCAAACTCAAAGAGCACCAGGGATCCACAGCTCTCCTCCTCCTCTTCTCCTCCTCCCCCCCTCCTCTTCCCCTCTT